AACATTTCTGCAAATCAAATAAATGTTTGCTAAATTTAAATTGTTATAATAGTATTTAATTCACACATGTTCAAGTCAACTTTTATCAATACATTTTGTCATTTAACTAGATACCTTAAAATTATGACCTTAAAAAAATCTATAAAAGTTGTAATGTAAAAATGTATAGAGTTTTAGGTAGATTATTAGCCAATGTTGGCCAACTTTAAATTGTCTTAATAGTATTTAGAAAATATTAATTAAATAGGTTTAAATATGAATCATGTTTTATACATTAGTTACCTATGCACCCCGAAGTGATAACTAACTGGTCCGGGGCCGCAACTAGGAAATCAAACGCGCTTGGGCGATTTGAGGTTTATGGGACGAAGAAAGGTGGAGAGTAATATTATTATGGTCTGCGCGCACTTTCCAACCACACATCCCCTCTCATCGTAACATTCCAACTACTAAAACTAAACTTAAACTAAAATAGTTAAAACTGGTTATCCAACAATCAAATTTTTTCGTACGTTGTTCTCAGTTTAAAAAGTTAGTTAAATTTACGCGTTGCTATTTAAGTTTTAATACCTGCATATTTATCAAATATACGCTAATTAAAGTCTACAATAGGTACCATTGATTTTAGAATTTATATAATATGTATATTCTAAAATCAACGATAGATACTGACCTCGTACAGTTGTTTGCTGTGTATTATTGAATTCTTCATCATCTACTTCGACAATTTCTACAAATCAAATAAATTATTGCTAAATTTCAAGTATCACAATAGTATTTAGAAAATTAATAATTATAATATAGTTTGAATAAAACACGAATCATGTATTATACGTTTAAAAGTACTTTAGTGCAGGTTTTCCATAAAAAAAAAGATGTCATGGGCATAAAAAGCCATTATTTTGAAAACTAAAATTCCTCACTCCGCATCGAAACTAAGACTAAGTAAAACGTATATTTAATTGATAGTTGTTACTTACCATGTGAGCTTGACCCTCTTCGTGAATCTAAATAATATAAATAACAAAATTCGATATTAATATAAATTCTTAGTCGCATAGAAAATTGTGTGTGAATTGAGAAAATAACTCTATAATACATTCGAGTTAACTTTTATCAATACATTTTGTCATTTATAAAGATGGTATGACATTACAAATATATAAAAGTTATAACTTAAAAATGTATATAGTTTTATGTTAATTGTTAGCACCTCTGATATGTTTTGTGGTATTTTGAACTTAATGAATTAAGTAAATTGAATTAAAATTTGATAACTATAAATTGTCATAGATGTTTTATATCTTGTCTGAGATATATTTGTTGTTATTTAATTAACAATATAACACAAATTCTTGTATTACAAAAAATTGTTTATTTTAACAAAAACACACTATACCTATACGAATAATAATTATTAGTGTTATCAAGCACTCTTTATTATACAATAAATATTGATACGCTGTCTTATCACTATATAATAAACATTGTTATCACATATCACAATTGAAATATTTTGAAAAATAACAATTAAATAGGTTTTAATATGAATCTTGTTTAGGCGTTTTAAAGTAGTTTAGTGCAGTGTTTGCATGAATAAATCTTCATAATAAACATTTATAGCATAAAACTGTTTGATAATTTTATAGTTACACTATAGTTATGTCGTAAGACAAAATAGATGGTACGAACATAAACCTGGGAAGATGGAGAGCGACAACCGATTACTCTTGACTGATGGCAAGTGGTGCACTGAAGTCTACTGGTAAAAAAGCATAGAAATCCAGTGTCTTTTATATTTATTTAACTTTTTCAATTATTCTTATTTCAGTTGTTACTTATTTACAAAATCGAGGCGCCGGATGTACTGCCCATATCTACAGAATGATTATTTTATCGTAAGCCACTCAATAAATCACAAAGTTTAATAAGAAATTTAATTTTTTTAAACTTTTTTTTTGTACAATGTGATGTTAATTTTTTTTGTTAGCACATTTTAAAAGAAGAATTAAACTTCTTAATAAATTCTATGAGATATTGTGGCTCATAATAAAATGATTATTCTATATATTAATGACGTGGTCATCATATTATAACAACTGACGATAACATTTTAAATCTACATCCTCGTGGTATGTAGTTTTTTTTTAACACTGGTAGACGCACTGGTTTTGTCACTGATGTGACAAAACGGTATGTAAAATAATAATTTTTTTTTTAATAAATACTAATTAAAGTCTATTATAGATAACTAGGTAATAACTGCACTACCATCTACAGTGTTCTACACTAACCTCGTACATTCGTTGGCTGCGCATTTTCGAATTCTTCATCACCTATTTCGACAATTTCTGCCGAAAGACATTATTTTAAAAACCATAAATTCTCATCGAAGCTAAGGCTAAGTAAAATGTATAACGTGCCTTTAATTGATAGTTGTTACTTACCGTGTGAGCTTGATGCACCTTGTGGCTCTACAAATAAATAACAAAATTAGGTATCAATATAAACTCTTAGTGGCATATAAAATTGTGTGTGAATTTAGAAAAGGACTCTATTATTCATTCAAGTTATCTTTTATCAAAACATTTCGTTATTTTTATGGCAACCCTTAATTTATGATATAAAAATATAGAAATGTTATAACTTGAAAATATATTAGGTTTTAGGTAGATTATTAGCGCCTCTGGTGTGTTTGCTGGTTGTTTCAAGTTAAAAGTGTTAGAAAAAGGTTAAACAAATAAATAATTACAGGACTACACATTAGGAACTTTCCAGTTAAAGCAACCGAATGAATGAATCATACCTGGTGTTTTAGTTTTCCCACAAGTGTCACAAACTAAAAACAATTATAAACTATGTTAGGTGTGTTAATATAATTAACTCGAATACGCTACAATCGATTGAAAAAAAAAAAATCAATTCTTAAAAATAAGCAATAATATAGAAAGTAATAGTCGACTAATATATACTATTATGTATATTAAATTCTGACATAAAATAAAATCTTATATTATTTTTGGTTCTGTCCTTAGTTAAATACTTTTTTAAGTATTTAAATTTGTGTTTAATTTACTTTTCAATTATCATGAATATTATAATATTACAAGCTGTCCCGACCCGACGTTGCCCCGGATTTAGTTTGCCAGGGCTGAGTAAAATAATTACAAATAAGATAAAAAAATAGTCAGTACTCCGGGCTGTATACTGTACAGCTTTAGCATACCCCGTCTCGCTTTTTTTTGGATCTACATATGCACATTACATTATATTGATTATGCCCCCTCCTTACTCAAGGGTCGCAGTCCTAGTCCCAGATCCAGTTCCAATTGTGAAAATGTTTAATAGCGTCCCCATAATCGTGGTACATATAATCGGCCTGTTCCTTTAATCATAACCTACCATTCGCCCAAGTACCGTGGTTACCATGGTTACAAACCAAGTGTTTATTTTGGGGATGTAACGAAAAATATTTCGTGTTTAAAATACAAAATTCGTGTTTGAGGCCACCCTTAAGGGGGGGGGGGAATTATCAAAAAGTTCTATGCCAGTTATCTTCGCGGGAGTGTACACAACAACTTCCCAAAGTTTCGTGACTATCGGATGGGCGATACTAATGAATAAAGGACAAGCAGACAAACATGCATTCATTTTTATAAACATATAGATTAGTTTATGTGAAGTATATTTCTTGACTTATTTACATTAACCTTAAAGTTATGACATAAAAAATATAGAAATATTAAAACTTAAAATTGTATAGAGTTTTAGATGGATTATTAGCGCCTCTGATGTGTTTGCTGGTTGTTTAAACTTATGTGTTAGAAAAAGTTTCGACGGTATAGACAAGAAAAAAAGAGGAAAATTGATAAGTGTAAGAAATAATATAATGGCATGAAAATAAAATAAAATGTTTTAAATATAATAATTATTGTCTTCATTAGGTAATTATACTGTACTGACCTTCTGCGTCCTTATCCTCACTACTCTCACCTAATCCTATAAATTATATATATAAAATTAATGTTTGCTAATTTTTTGTTGTTATAATAATATTTAGAAAAATAACAATTAAATAGGTTTCAATATGAATTATGTTTTATACGTTTTAAAGTACTTCAGTGTACTATTTATTTAGGGCATGAGGACAGGCAGAGTGTGGTATTATTTTTATCTGCGTGCACTTCCCTTTCCATCCTAACTCTTGTAACTTTAAAAATAGTCGTTTAAAACTAGTTATCATCCAGTGAATAAATTTAGTACATTATTTTTAGTTTAAAAAGTTAATTAAATGTATGCGTTGCTATTTAAGTTTCAAAAACTGCTATCAAGAAACTAAGTTAGAATGTGAATAAAAACAAAAAAAATGTATGAAAAAACGTAAGCACATCGTATAAAAACAATATGAAAAAAAAATTATTACATTTCTTATTAAACCCTTTAAGAATATTTGAGTGGTTCACGATAAAATTATCACCCGTTTATTGTGGACGTGTACATCTTATAACATTCAACGATGTTTTTCGATGCCTCGTCCTTGTTTTAAATTGAGAAGGAAGTGGAAAAAATATCTCATACAAATTAGTGTTGTTAAAATAGTAAAACTTCAGCAATTAATCATTATTTACATTTTTGTTTTACTAATTTATTTGTTTGGTCATCGGTCTCAAGTCGCCGGAAGCACTGTCCATATTTATTATTATATATTATATTTATATATCATACATTGATGACGTGATTATCATGTAACAGTAAAAATAAAAAAAATTATTAAGTAGGTGTATTTTTGTTTTACGCATTTTAAAAGTATTTTCTGTACAGCTTTTTTTTATCTCGAAACATAAATAGTTTTCATAAACTAATATTTTGTCTAACTTTGGTAACTACACCTTTTTTCTTCTTCACTCATATTCTTAACGATAACATTATACAATAATTTAGTCTGAATATATTGAATAAAAAAAAGCATAACGTTAATATTGTTACTAGTTATTACTTACCTGGATATGGCAGACCTCGTGTGACTAAATCAACATAACAATATTAGATGTTAGTATAAAATTCATACTTGCATGCAAAAGTAAGTAAGAAAAATGTGGAAATATCATTTACTAATTAATGTAATCAACACCGATCAATAAAATATGCCGTTCAGTTTAAATGACTTAAAATTATAATTATACTAGATTGTTAATTTCATATTGTAATCCAGAAAATGAAGTAGTGAAAATGGTATAAAAAACAAAAATTACCCAACGATACTTCCAAGATAATGAAACCTATAAAAAGAATAGTGATTTTCTGCATAATGTAATAATGAACTTTTCTAATCTAAAATTTGTCCGATATGGAACTTATAAGTTGTACAGGCAAAATTTAAAATGAATAATTAACAAATTATTTTTCTCTTAATAGTGAGTGTTGCTTAGTTTATACAAGCATCGGCCTATGAAAGTATGACTCAAATGATTTTCTTTTGATGGTAAAACACTTGTACAAACTAACGGGTGATCGTGGATTTTATTGTAGCCACGCGTTTGACTATGACCTAAATATTAACTGTATTCCTATTCAATTTTACAGTATAATAACGATATTTTGTAAATCAGTTACCATTAAATTATACTGTTAGTTTAAAAAACTTAAAATCATAAATACTCTAAATTAATAATTTCGTTTAGGTGGTGTTAGATTACACTTTGTTTTGACAAGAAGTGTTACTCTGACTAAATAGATATTTTTTCCAATTTTTGTCTTAAATTTGTATCATATTATTCGGTATACTTATAGAAATTGCCAAGAAAATGATTGTTTTACCGATATCAAAACTTGTGACTAAAACCTGGTCACATAGAATGTGTGAAATATTTTATGCGTGAATAATCCGAGTAATAATACTGTATACCAATGTCTGGTTTTGTTATTGAACTAGAGTAAACCTTTTTTTTTTGCTATGCTTTTGTGCATTTAGCCCATTACGTGAATTGTACTTGGTTTGTAAAAAAATATGCAAATATATAGTAGTCATTATTTTACTTAACATCAATTTAATTTTACTTTTGCATTTTGACTCACTCATTTTTTACTTCAAAATCGAGAACTACAAACAACTCTAAATATTTTACTTGTTATTATGACACGCTATAACTTAAAAAAAAAAAAAAGGTCTTAAATTTTAGGGACAATAATTTAGAAAATAATTTTCTAAATAAAATAATATTTATATTCTTTGACAAACCAAACAAATATTGAAAGGTGAGACGTCTTTTTTTTTCGAAAAGTCTTTATATCTTTCTTGTGTCTAAAGTAATGCAATTGTAGATTTCAGGTATGATTTCTGATTTTTTAACTTACTACATGAACAAATTTAACCAAATATTTATAATGAAACATTTTAAATCAAATTAATATTTGCTAATTTTAATTTGTTATAATACTATTTAGAAAAATAAAAATAAAATAGATTTCAATATGAAATAGGTTTTATACGTTTTAAAGTACTTCAGTGTGTATTCACGTAAAAACATAAAACCTACCGGCTACGATCTCGTTATGTTGCACTTTAAACACGATTACGAGCACAAAAAAATACTCAAAGGCTACCAAATTTGGTGAACCCTTTGCAATTAACTGCCCGGAGGCTGATGCCATGTTTGGGACGTCTAGGTCCAAAATTGGGGATGGTCCCTTAGAAGGGATTTAGACTCTAGAAGTTTGAGTGTACCTAATAAAACTTTTTAAAACCAAACGATCCCCGTTTGATCGGTGTCTCTAGGACTATTTGCCGCAGAATTACGCGTACTAAAAATTCCCCAAATTTTAGGGGGGGGGGGGTAAAGTCACTTTTAGTATGTAGTTGACCTTTGCACCCCAAAGTGTCCGTGTCCACTAACTAGTAAATCGAACTTGCTAGGGTGATTTGAGGATTCCGTGAGGGTGGGGGGTAAACTCAGAATTTTCTAAATCCGTAAACTATCTTTGCCTTCACCCGGTCAGTGGTACAACCGGTATTGTGCACCCAATATGTTTTATTAAACAAATTTAAATAATAAATATGGCTGCCGCCTAAACGTGGCCAAAAGCAAATTAAACGTTCGCCGTTTGTTGAGTACGACTTATGTTACTAACAATTGTGCGCCTAATCTCATAGACGACTAAAAGTTAGTAACTTAAAATAGTTTTGATTGGACCGACTCAACACCGGTCCAAACGCGAACTTTTTACATCTTTTCACACAAAAATTTTAAAACAAATTTGTGAAGGGAGTGGTAGAAAATATCTCATACAACTTAGTTATGGTTAAACTTCAGCAATTAATCATTTATCACATTTTTATTTTACTAATTTAATTGTTTAGTCATCAATCTCAAGTCACCGAAGCACTGTCCGTGTTTATTTTTATATATATTTATATATTATATATTACCGTAACAGCAAAAAAAAAAAAAAAAAATATTAAGTAAGTGTATTTTTGTTTTACACATTTTAATAGTATTTTCAGAACAGCTTTTTTAAGCTCTAAAAATAAATAATTTGTATAAACTAATATTTTGACTAGCTTGGGTAAGTACATTGTTATTCTAATTTACTCTTATTCTTAACGATAACATTATACAATAATTTAGTTTGAATGTATTAAATAAAGAAATGTACACGGCAATTATAGTAATACATAATAAAACGTGCCGTTAATATTGTTAGTTGTTACTTACCTGGATATGGTAGACCTCGTGTGACTAAATTAAAATAACAAAATTGGGTATTATTAAAAATTCATACTTAAAAGCAAGTAGTGTAAATAGAAATTACCCAACGAGACTTCCAAGATAACGAATGCTATAAAATGAATAACGATTTTCTGCATAATGTAATAAAGAACTTTTCTAATCTAAAAAGCCCTGTCCGATAAGGAATCTTTAAGTTGTACAAGCAAAATTGAAATGAACAATTATCAAATTTGTTTTGGCTTAATAGTGAGTGTTTTTCAGTTTTTACAAGCATCGGTACATGGAAGTATGACGCAAACGGTTTTCTTTTGGTGGTAAAAAACTTGTACAAACTAACGGGTGAACGTGGATTTTATTGTAGCTATGCGGTTGACTATGATCTTGATACTAACTGTATTCCTATTCAATTTTACAGTATTATAACGATATTTTATAAAGCAGTAACCATTACAATATATAATTAATTTCAAAAACTTAATTTTATAAACACTCTAAGCTAATAATTTCGTTTAGGTTAATTTCACTTTGTTTTGACAAGACGTATTACGCGGACTAAATAGAAACTTTTTCTAAGTTTTGTCTTAAATGTGTACTGTATTATTTGCCAAAAAAGTGTTAACCGATATCAAAACTCGACGACTTGAATTAAACCTGATCAATTAAAATGTGTGAAATATTTTATGGGCAGTTTTAAATAGTCCGAAAAATAATACTGTAAATGTCTGGTGTTTATAGTGAACTAGGGTAAACCTATTTTTTTAAACTTTGTTTTTCCTAAGTGCATTTAGCTCCATACGTAAAATATATTTTCGATTTGTAAACAAAAATAAGAAGTACATTGGGGTCATTGTTTAACTTAAAAAATTAGTCTCAGCTTCGTACGTTCTATTCTTGAATCCAGAGTCGTAGTTTGACATACATACCCAGTGCGGGACGAGGTACGCATCGAGCGAGTTCAAAACATATTTGTGGCCTTTGCTGCTTTTATTTTAAAAACAGAACATCCTCAACACGACTACTCCCTTATCCGCTCAGCGCTCAATATTCCTACTTTAGCATCCCGTCTTGTCGATGATGATATCTCTTTTATCTCCTCTCTCCTTAACGGCTTTTACGATGTTCCGATTTGCTCTGTTCTATTTCTTTCCGTGTTCCATACCACTCTACTAGAAACCATTCCCTATACCATAATTTTCTATGGGTATAATCACCCATTATACATTAGTCCATTATCACCCATTTGTCTCCTCACGGACACCACGAAAAGTCAATCTTTCAAACCACATAGACAATACGGTTGTGATCTTATTAGGATATTAACTTATTGACGAAATACACATTTAAAACGCACCAACAAAAAATAATCAGTTTATTCTCATTAACAAATCATTTTGTCACATTACTTCATCATGTCATTCATATAATTTATATATTGATAGGTAGAACTAACAAAAAACAAGATATTTTAATTGGCCAGGTGTTGTAGTTTTATTATGATTCAGTGAAATATATAATTTTAGTTTACAAACGTTAAATTAATTTAATACGAATTATTCTGTATAGAATGTAATACAACTGGATTTTTAAACGACACTTTTGGATCTTTTCTGTAATTAAAAAACATCATTATTATCATTCATAACTCAAATAGATCTTATTACATAATATCAGAATTTATGATATGGTTTGGGGTTTTCAATAAAAACAAAGGAAGTCATAAACTGATAATAATGAAAAAGAATGTTGTATTTATCATGAACTCTACATTATCTCATTTATTATATATACTTTTTTTAAAATCTTTTTGCCAAGTTGATTGGTTTTCTTTAATAAAAAAAAACATTGCCTATAATTTTGTTGAAAAACTTTGTTACGCATTGACAATTTTGATTGTCTCTTCAAAAATAAAATTGTATATTAACACCAATAGTAATTAGTAATACAAGCAATTTGTGATATATATTGTATTTATTAAATATATGTAATTAATGATTAGTTTAGATTACCTCGTTGTTACAAACAATTATTTTCTTGAGGAGTAAAACAGAGATCTAATTAGTACGATTCTGGGCCTGAAATTATTTTATTTTATTGTTAGCTAACTAAATTGTCTTAATGATTATTGATTATGTAAGTTATCCAATAAAATAACAAAATAGTTACTTATACATTTTTAATTATAAAAAAGAACTACTAAATTTAAGAAAAAAACTACTTACTGCCATTACCAAAAACCTGGTCGCAGGCATAACACAAGCCAGACGTCACAAAGCACAACAAATTTACAGCTTGCTTGGACCGGTGTGTGCATTCTAAAAAGGGTATTGAAATTTGTAAATTATATTTAATTTAATTTAAATATGAAATAACCACATAATAATACAAACAGTTTACAGTGCACACGTCATGGCACAACTTATTAACTTTAAAGCGTTACGAACATATCTTATTAATAATTACTTCACGTGAAACCAGCCTAAAAAATATTTCTCAAAACGGGCTTTTGGCAACTGTTAAAATGTTTGTAACATTGGAAATATTTTACAAAAACATTAAGTCTAACTTTATTGTAATACAATATAATATAATATATATATATATATATATATATATATATATATGTACATTAAATATTGTAAGTATTCCATAGTTATTAGAATAGACATTTTCCCAAAATGTAATATATATATATATAAGTTTAATGTGAATAGGAGTTCCGCCCAGTGATATTCGTACACAAGATGTTCGAAGTTATGTATATATTGTTTTATCACAAATACTTATTGTATATTTTTTATAGATTTTTAATTTAAAAAAAATTGGATTTGAAAACTAAACTTTGAGCTATTAAGCGAATTAAAATCAAATATCAAGATATTTATGGTTAATCAAATTTACTGCCCACTAGGAACTATCCTAATTAAATAACAGAAAAAAATTAACAAAAAGGTTATGCAAAAAACTTATGACCTCCTAGGCACTAGAAACCATTTTTTAACTAAACGTCAGATGAGTTGAAATATAATGTATTCTATTGCATTATATAGTCCATGTTTTTCGAAACTATTTGCTGACTTAAAATATACCTTTAAATCAATTGCAAAAAAATCACTGGGAAACATTTAAAGTTGATCTAAACATTTATTTAAAATTAATCATACCTTTTCCTATAGCTCTTCCACATTTTACACAAACTAAAAACAATTATTAAGTAAGTTAGCTGTGTTAAAAATAAACGAAATATGTTTATACAATTATTTACATGAATTGAGATTACATTGTATAACAATATGAAAACAAATAATTAAATTTCTTTTTCAAGCTTATGTTATGAACCCCTGATATATTTAGTTTTAGTTAGAATAAGTATCCGCAATAGTATTCAGCAGTTATTGTAAAAACAGAGCATCAAATATTGTGTGCTAGACGTGGCCGGCCAAAGAATGTGCTATTGTTTTATTTTATGGTTAAGCAAGACCGGAAGGCTAGCCGACCGCGACCCTAACGCATCAAAGCATCGTCAGTCTTTTGACAACCGTACATGTGTATGAACTTGTGAAGTCGTACTATTTAAAATAAATTATTTTAATATTAATAAAGGTACGTTTTTATTTTTTTTTTTTTTTGTTACTCTCGTAACACTTATGAGTTATGAGATATTGTTAAATTTCTTTTTCAACCTTATGAGATATTGAGTGGTTTGTGATAAAACATTACCCATTATAAGGTAATTATTTAAAACTGGCTATGGTATATCCAATATTTTCAGCATTATTTTTTAAATTAAAAAAAAATTATATGTAACGTTAAAGTATATACGTTAAGGTAAACGTTTATACTAACCATTTGAATCCTTATGAAGCATCTCCGCTAAATCCAAAAATGTTAATAAATAAAATTAATTTTTGCTAACGATAAGTTGACATAATGGTATGTACAAAATAATAATAGTATGTGTGTTATTTTTTCAAACGTTTTTATGATAACTTTAACGCTGTTTTAAATTAAAACGAAAAAATTCTTTTAGAATAATATAACAACAGAATGATGAAAAACGTGCATTTATAGGGGTGAAAAGTAAAAGATGTATATTATTTATCTGGAAAAATATTGATGTTAAGTATCCATTAACGAATTTAAAAATACAGTAAATAATGTGCACTGAAGCTGACAATGAGATTAAAGACACTAAAGAAAAATGCTATTTCTAATTCAGGAAAAACTCCAGACATTTACTTCATTATTACTATAATTGTTAAACTGTTATATAAAAAAGATTACATATTGTACATACGTGTTATACTCGTATAATTTTTTTTCTCGGTCTTTTGTATACCTGATGCAAAATAAATAAATAAAATTGTAAGGTGGCATTAAAGTCTTTTTTGTGTAACTTCTGATTGTGTACCACCTCGATTATTAGTATCATATCATATCATATTTAGTTTACATATTACTCATATCACTCATATTACACTAAATATATATTCAAACGTTTTTTAAAATATAACGCATTCAATAGTATTTATTTTAAAAATGTAAGCTATAAAAAAACTGGAGTCCTGCTTTTTCGTTGAATATGTTAGGGATATATAAGAGTTATAATTTAAGACAATTGTTTAAACTAAAATTTCTTAAAAGTACAGCTAAGAAACACAAAAAAAACTATTATTCCTCGTGGGTGAGGGGGCATGGCTAAAATTAAAATTTTTTATTTAAAGGCATGCCTAGGAGAATAACAAATGAAAATTTCCTATACATTTTGGTTCTACAACTTGATTCAAAACTTTTCCCAAAGTTATAGCCAATAAAAGTTGAAACTTTTAAACACGCTAAAATAAATTTAATTTATTTTTAAACCCTATGAGATGTTAAATGGTTTATTATATGAAAAATAGGCTATAACAAATTTTTATTCTACACTGACCTTTTGAGCTTGCCGTAGCATCATTACCTAAATCAAATAATTATATAAATATAGATTTTGTTAGGAAAAACTTGTAAATGTAAACATTTCATTTAAAACTGAAACGAAACACCTCTAGATATAATTTAAAAATAAAAATATTATACTCCGGTTTTTCTTTATCTCCCTAGTAGGGGGCTATTACTAATTCTATATTGTATACTGACTTTGTGAGCTTTCCGGCTCTGTCGAAACAACTCCACCTATAAACCAAAAAATTTTACAAATAAAATAACTGTTTGCTTACTTTCAAAAAACAAAAAGGTTTGTGAAATAATAAAATGTTTATAGGTTTTACTTTTTTACACGATTTTATAGGAATCAAGATGTGATTATAATTGAAAAATAAATTAATATATAATTTTTTTACTATTTTATTTATAGCCCGATCTAAACTGCAAAGCTGTTATAATATTTCAAGAAGGTTTATCTATTTACAAATAATATTAGCACCTTTGCTTTGTTTGCCGGTGGTGTGAACTTCTAAGTTTTAGAAAATATTTTGACGAAAAACACGGGGAAAACAATAAATGTAAGGAGAATGATATCAACAAGAACTGATATAAAGGTATGTAATAAATAACAATTTTTAAAGCATTTGATACTAATTAAAGTCTACTATAGATAACTATTAACTACTTTATTATCCAAACTGACCTTGTACATTCCTTTGGCGCGCAATATGCAATTGTTCTGTATTTAATACATCCATTTCTATAAATAAAAATATTAATGTTCGCTAAATTTTAATTGGCATAAAAGTATGTAGAAAAATAATAATTAAATAGTTTTAAATAGAAATCATGTTTTTTGCGATTTCTTAAGATTTTGGTGAAGCTACTACATAAATAAATCATCATTAAAATTTGATTTTTGATCATAACATTTAAAAAATGTTCCTTTTATTGTAATTTCTAAATGTATTATAATATTTTATGACTGATATTAAAATACTCTTACAGTATACAGACCTCTGAATTAGTGGTAATCAGTATTTTGATAAAAGATAAAATAGATAAAGTGCCTTTTATAGATAGTTGTTACTAACCTTGTGTTATTGGCACAGCTTGTGGGTCTAAATATAAATAACATAATTGAGTATCAATATAAATTCATATTCATTACTAAATTATGTGTGAATTGGGAAAAAAACTTTTCATTTAAAACTGAAACGAATTACCTCGAGAAATAATAAAAAAAATAAAAAATCCAGGTTTTTCCTTATCCCCCTAATATAATGTAGAGGGCTATTACTAATTCTATAATGTGTACTGACTTTGTGAGCTTTCCGGCGCTGTCAAATTATCCTCATTTGATCCTAAAAATGATAAAAATCAATTTAATGTTTGCTAACTTTAAATTGTTAGAATAATATTTAGAAAAATAAAAATAAAATAGGTTTATTATGAATTATCTTTTATAGGATTTAAAGTACTTTAACCCCCTAACAATTGGTATACTTTGGTGCCTGTTCCTTTTTAAAGCAGTTGACATGTTTGTGGCCATTACCGGAACAATGACTTAGACTTGTTTCTTGTAACAGACCTCACCTCCATTTTAGAAGAGCTCCATTTTTATTTCGTAGTGCTCCTATATGTGCTTTATTATTGTTCCTTTTTGTTATGCGACGATTAGTCCTCTGATTTTCACTGTTTGCGTATAATAGAACCACCTCATCTTTATCTGCCATATCGTTAAACTGCACGTCGATATCTTGAGTGTCCTCATTCGCTTTATCAGCTCGAGAAGTCTAAATGGCCAGTCGTGATTACGAGTATAAAAATTACTCAAAGGCTACCAAGTTTAGTAATCCTTCGCAATTAACTGCCCGAAATCTGATGCCATGTTTAGGACGTATAGGTCCCGAAATTGGGGAGGATCCCTTCGATGGGATTTAGACTCTAGAAATGTAGGCATACTCGATAAAGCCTATTAAAACTAAACGATCCCCGTTTGATCGATGTCTCTAGGATTATTTGCAGCAAAATTACAGGAACTCAAAATTCCCAAAATCTTGGGGGTCACCTTCAGTATGAATTCGACCTTTGCACCCCAAAGTAATTGCTGATGGCCCGTGTCCACTAACTAGTAAATCGAACTTGCTACGGTGATTTGAGGATTCCGTGGGGGGGGGGGGTAAACTCAGAATTTCCTAAATCCACAAACTATCTTTACCTACACCCGGTGTACAACCGGTAATGTGCACCCAATATGTTTTATTACATAAATTTAAATAATAAATATGGCTGCTGCCTAAACGTGGCCAAAAGCAAATTGAACGTTCGCCGTTTGATGAGTACGACTTATGTTACTAACAAATGTGCGCCTAATCTCATAGACGACTAAAAGTTAGTAACCTTAAATAGTTTTAAGTAAACTTTTTACAACTTTTCACACAAAATTTAAACAAAAAAAGGAACCCTAGTGACTCAGATAATCGAATATTAATCAGGTGTGCACTAAAATTATGTGCTCTCTAAATAGCTGTTAAAATAGCGCATTATTTTTAAAGATATTGAAGTTTTAAGTTTAGGGCATGAAGAAAGGTAGAGTGTGGTATTATTTTTATCTGCGTGCACTTCCCGACCGCAATTCCTTTTCCATCCAAACTTTTTAACTCTTATAACTTTAAAAATAGTCGTTTAAAACTAATTATCATTTAGTTAATAATTTTAGTACATTACACTAAGTTTAAAAAGTTAATTAAATGTATGCGTTGCTATTTAAGTTTCAAAAGCTGCTATCAAGAAACCAAGTAAGTAGGGGAATAAAAACAAAGAAAAATTATGAAAAATCGAGATCACATCGTATAAAAACAATATGAAAAAAATAATTACATTTCTTATTAACTATCTACTTCATTTCTATTTTTAACGGTAACATTATACAATAATTTAGTCTGAATGTATTAAATAAAGAAATGTACACGGCAATTATAGTAATACATAATAAAACGTGCTGTTAATATTGTTAGATGTTACTTACCTGGATGTGGTAGACCTCTTGTGACTAAATTAAAATAACAAAATTGGGTATTATTAAAAATTCATACTTACAAGCAAGTACTGAAAGTAATATAAAAATAGAAATTACCCAACGAGGCCTCCAAAATAATGAACGTTACAAAAAGAATAGCGTTTTTCTGCATAATGTAATAGTGAACTTTTTAATTAAAAAAACACTGTCCAGTAAGGAACTTTGAAGCTGTACAGTCAAAATTAAAATGAACAATTAACAAATTGGTTTTGGCTTAATAGTGTTTAGTCTTAACAAGCATCGGTACATGAAAGAATGACGCAAACGGTTATCTTTTGGTGGTAAAACACTTGTACAAACTAACGGGTGATCGTGGATTTTATTGTAGCTATGCGGTTGACTATGATACTATCTGTATTCGTATTAAATTTTGCATTTTGCAATTGTAGCCAAGTAAATTTCAATAAAAATATTTATAATATCATCATTTTGTGTTGCACCTTAGGTATTTTTTGAAGCCAAATTTTCAGAAATTGTTTTATTTTTTAAATTATAATTTTGTTAATTTTCTCGTGGCTGCGTCTTCGTTGGATAGTTGGTCTTCTTTATTTATGTTAACTCAGTCAATGGTTAAGGTGTTTTTATTAAAAGACAAAAATACTTTAAGTATAGAAATATATTCCAACCATCACCAATTGCATAAGATGTTATACTCAATAATAGGACAGTTAAGTGTTTGCTTGAACATCCGGAAGCATCTGATATCTAATGGCAAGCGGGCGGCTTTTAATGGGGTCCCGCTAAAAAACTGGAGGTGGTTTTGCATAATTTTTTACAATTTGGCCCCACATGAAAGGGCTTGAGTTGGTGCTAGGTGCGGCTGCCCATCGGATGACCAATTTAGACATTTCCTTTCTAAAATGCGGTCGTATTAGCCATTAGTGATACGCGCTTGAAATACTGGACCTTGGGCCGTGCAGGTGCGCCATCGAAATCTATCTGCATACAATTTTAATTGCGACTCTTCTCACAGTGTGTGTTGTAGGCCTCCTTACATACTTTATTATGTTCTTAGTATTTTTGCAAAATAGCAATAATATGCAAATTAGTGATCGGTTAATGCAGTATAAGTAACTGGCATTGTAACAATATATTATCTCAAAAGTAAAAATTCTTATTTTTTTGTATTAAACAAAATATTACTACACTATGTATTATTTTTGACAAGTAAAATTAATTTATAAGATTGAATCAGATAGCTAATCAACTAGTTTGTGATTTAATCAGATTACCAATTTTGTGCATTAATGACCGATGTATGACATCCATTTGTCGCCTCACGGACACCACAGAAAGTCAACCCTTCAAACCACATGGCAATAATATAACAATAATATTATGATGTTATATCATTGTCGAAACACGCTATTTAAAAACGCACCTACAAAAATTAATCAGTTTATTCTAAATAACAAATTATTTTCAATAGGTGAATTTATATAATTTATGTATTGATAAGTAGAACTAATAAAAAACCAGATATGTTAATATTGGTCAAGTATTATAATTTCATTATGATTCAGTGAAATATATAATTTTGGTTTAGTAAAAGTTAAAACAATTTAATAACTAGTAGAATTATTCTGTGTTGAATGTAATGCAACTGGATTTTTCAACGACATTTTTGGATCCTTTCTGTAATTAAAAAACGACATTATTATCATTCATAGCTCAAATAGATCTTATTACATAATATCATCATTGTTAAAACAAGTTAATTCCTTATATATATATATTTTACTATTATGCTTTTAAAATATTTCTCGAGACTACCAATACACCAACTTTGGTTTTGCTAATCCATATAAATTATACTTTTGATATGTTACTATGCTTAAGATTTTTATACAGCTGTTTAGCTAAACTAGTATTTAACAGAATTTAACAAAAAAACCTTTTTTAGGAAATTATCAAGTACTTGATTTTGTGTGATCATTTATGATATGGTTTGGGGTTTTCAATAAAATCAAAGGAAACCATATATTGTTAATAATGAACAAAAACCGTTATATTTATCATGAAATTTACATTATCTCTCTTATTATATATTATATATTTTTTATAATCATTTTGCCGAGTTGGTTTGTTTTCTTTAATAAAAAAAAAACATTGCCTTTATTATTGATAAAAAACTTTGTTAAGCATTGACAGTTTTGATTTGTCTTTTCAGAAAAACAAACTGGATATGAACACCAATAGTATTCAGTAATACAAGCATTTAATGATATACATTGTATTTATTAATTATATATAATTAATGTCAGGATAGATTACCTCGTTGTTACAAACAATCACCTTCTTCAGGTTTAAAACAGAGAAAGTCTTTGTACGATACTGGCCCTGAAATTATTTTATTTTTATGTTAGGTACACAAACTGACCTATTGGTTATTGATAATTTAAGCAAATCAATGTATCAATAAATTAGTTACTTATACATTTTTAATTAAAAAAAAGATCTACTAAAATTAGGATAAAATTACTTACCGTGATAACTTTCGCAAAATTTGCAGACAAAACCCAAGCAACACACGGCACAGTACATTTGCAACAAATTTGCGGCTTGTTTAGACCGATGTATGCACTCTAAAAAGGGTATTGAAATTTGTAAATTATATTTAATTTAATTTAAATATGAAATAACCACATAATAATACAAACAGTTTACAGTGCACACGTCATGGCACAACTTATTAACTTTAAAGCGTACGAACGTATCTTATTAATAATTACTTCACGTGAAACCAGCCTAAAAAATATTTCTCAAAACGGGCTTTTGGCAACTGTTAAAATGTTAACATTGGAAATATTTTACAAAAATATTAAGTCTAACTATATTGTAATACAATATAATATAATATATATATATATATATATAATATGAATACATTAAATATTGTAGATTAGAAATTTTCCCAAAGTGTAATATAAATATAATTGTAATTTAATTTAAGGTTAATGTGAATAGGAGTTCCGCCACTGGATGGTCCATAAGTTACGTGTATATTGTTTTATCACAAATACTTATTGTATATTTTTTACTGATTCTATTTTTTTTAAAAACTCGATTTGAAAACTAAACTTTGATATATTAGGCGAATAAAAATCAATTATTAAGATATTTTCGGTTAATCAAATTTGCTGCCCACTAGGAACTATCCTAATTAAAAAACAGAAAAATATGAACAAAAAAGGTAATGTAAAAACGTATGACCTCCTAGGCCATAGAAATCATTTCGTCAGATGAGTTGAAATATAATGTATTTTATTGTATTATATAATCAATGTTTTTCGAATCTATTTGCTGACATAATTTATACCTTTTAATCAATTGCAAAAAAATCACTGGGAAACATTTAAAGTTGAGCTAAACATTTTTTTAAAATTAATCATACCTTTTCCTAAAGCTCTTCCACATTTTGCACAAACTAAAAACAATTATTAAGTAATTTAGCTGTGTTAAAAATGATTGAAATATATTTATGAAATTATTTACACGAATCGTATAATGCCAGAAATGTTGAACTCGCCAATGTTTACAAAGTTAAGTTTTTAACTTTTTATGGGTACTATGATTTTCATAAAAAGTAATTTTAACGATTCTAGATTAATATTGTTTTCAATGTATTGTCGTTAAATAACAAATAACTTTTTTCATATTTACCAGTTATGTCGTAACTTATTTTTAACCATTTTATTTTATTATAATATAAGAAAATCATAAAATGTTTTTAAATATTTGATCTATACTATTGCATATTTTTGTACTAAACATTGTCTGGCATCTACAACATTTTGTGTTACACACTGTAATGCATTTTATGAAAGATTCTTTAAAAATGTTGTTAAAAAAGAAATGCGGTCGGTAAATACAATTAACTTGATCAATGCATAAACATTATTTAACAAATATATAAATCTTCACATTAAGAACTTTACTTTTAAACGAACTGAAACAAAGTAAAAGGTGATAAAAAACATACCTTGTATTGTAGATTTCACACAAGTGACAGAATCTAAAAACAGTTACAAATCATGTTAGGTGTATCAAAGTCATCATAGATTTTATAATATTAGTTTATGTTTGATAGAAGTATATTTCTTGACTTAAAATAATACTAAGAACCCTTAACCATAAAAATGATATACTCTCCGTGTATACGCTGTATTTCGGGCACAATGTTGTCATCTTCAGTGCTAACGAAACACTAGATAGCTTTTTCTAGATTTCTCGAATTCTTTACATGAAACGCCTAATGCCAAAAAATCCTAACTCACAAACGTTTACAGAATTAAATAACATTTTTTTAAAATTTAAAGCATAATTTTTTAAGTTTAAAAAAAAAAAATAAAATTACAGTCCATTACATTCTTATATTTTATTAATTTTTTATTATTTTCAACGAAAACTTCGGTAGCATGTTAATTGATAAAATAATCGTCACAAAATGTTGAGAGAACAATTTTACGGATTCTATTATTTCAACTACAAGTATTTTTCATATATTATTGAATAGTCATTAAGTTAATAAAATATATACGTTACCATTTAAGTTTCAAAAGTTTCTATCAAAAAAACTAAGATAAGAGGGGGGTAAAACAAAAAAATTGTGAAAAATTGAGGTAACATTGTATAACAACAATATAAAACAAATAATTAAATTTATTTTTCAAGCTTATGTTATGAACCCCTGATATATTTAGTTTTAGTTAGAATAAGTATTCGCAATAGTATTCAGCAGTTATTGTGAAAACAAAGCATCAAATATTGTGTGTTAGACGTGGCCGGCCTAAAGAATGTGCTATTGTTTTATTTTATGGTTAAGTAAGACCGGAAGGCTAGCCGACCGCGACCCTAACACATCAGAGCATCGTCAGTCTTTTGACAACATGTGTATGAACTTGTGATGTCGTACTATTTAAAATAAATTATTTTAAGATTAATAAAGGTACGTTTTTTTTTTTTTTTTTTGTTACTCTCGTAACACTTATGAGTTATGAGATATTGAATGGTTCATGATAAAACATTACCCATTATGAGGTAACTATTTAAAACTGGCTATGGTATATCAAACATTTTCAACATTTTTTTTTAAATTAAAAAATTAAGATAATATATAAATATGTATTAAAGCTTTCATTAAACTATTAGACTGATCCTTTTGGAATGTTTGACAAGACCGAATATAATCGATAAAACAAAACAAAATCAAATTCATGCCGATATAAGGAAGACAAAAATAGACTTAACAGGTATAAAATCTATTGGTATATA